TGCCTCAAGTTATGTACCAGACGTCGATCTGCGGTCTACCAGCGGTGAAGACATTCACTCGACCCTCAACTTCTCTATCCCCAAAAATGTCTCACCTTCTCACCAGAACACGCTCTCGGCAGCTCTTCAGTATGGTACGGGCTCCTATCCAATTTAAATTTCACGATTCCTGATTCCCACTTATTCCCAAACTCAATGTCCCTTCTTGCCTTCTGTATGACCGATCCTTTGCGACTAGGAACATCATATGGTTCTGCCAATCTATCGTCCTTTATAAGAGAGTTCACCTCTCGCGTCATGAACCCGGCGTACTCAGATTTCGAGATTCTGTTGGATTCTGGTAATACCGATGCGTGGAACAAGGTCGTCAATATTCTATGTGAATTCGGAGATTATATCCTGGTAGAGGAACACACCTATCCATCTTCTCAGGCTGTGTGGGCACCGATGAAGTGTATAGGCGTTCCCATCTCTATCGATAAGAATGGTCTGATTCCGGAGTCTTTGCACGACACGTTGAAAAACTGGAATAATACTCATCCCGGAGTGAAGAGACCTCATTTGTAAGATTTCGTTCATTGTTCCTTGTTGCATTCTAAACCGTCAATTCCTTCTCTTGATCATCTACTTTTACCGGCAGATTATACACCGTGCCTGTAGGCCATAATCCCACTGGATCAACACTTTCACTAGAGCGCAAAAAGAAAATCTACGAGATTTGCGTAGAGTACGATATTATCATCTGCGAGGATGACCCATATTACTTCCTCCAATTTCCGCCGTACACTTTGAGGCCTTCCTCGAGCGAAACGCAGAAGACGGCAGAAAATCCGGTGGCATTCGACAGGCAGGCATATATCGAGAGTTTGGTTCCTACATTCATTTCTCTCGATGTGCAAGGTCGGGTTATCAGACTCGATACTTTCAGCAAGGTATTCACCGAAATAGAAACTTGGCAAGTCACTGACACAACATCTAATAGACGCTTGGTCCTGGAAATCGTCTGGGGTATTTCGTTTGCAATCCGCTATTTGCAGAACGTATCTTACGTGCGACAGAGGTGACTACTCAATCGCCTTCCGGGTTGTCTCAGGTAGGGAAAACGAGGTGCACGTCATAATGCACCAATTAACATAAGATCAACAGGCACTCGTCGAAGGTTTGCTCACCTCTTGGGGACAAGATGGATATCTACGCTGGTTGTCGGGATTGAGAGACAGTTATACATCGCGGAGAAACTGGATGGTAAGCTACGTTTAATGAGTCCAGGAGACAGTATGCAAACATCTATTTTCTCTAGTGTGAAATCATGGCAGAGACCTTTGATCTACTCCCCTCACCACAGAACATCACCGACGACGTTGTTGCTGTTCAGAAAGGTCATGCATCGACTAAAGACACTTTCCCATATTTCAGCTTCAGCTTTCCGAAGGTGACTCAAATTCAAAGCTCGTGCTAAGTTCCTACTGACTGTTGATGTCCACCATCTAATGATTAGGGTGGAATGTTCTTATGGATCAAGCTCTACCTAGCACATAATGCAACTTATCAAGATTTGAAAGCCACCTCTTCTTCGGGTGCGGTTGCAACTGCAAAGTGGGCTGAAGCATTCTGGATGGATTTGATCAAGGAAAAGGTCCACCATCGTCTTCTTCTTCTCTTCTCAGCATTGCTCGATAGCTAATCTCTCTTATTCTTCGTGTGCTTTTAGGTCTTGCTAGTCCCCGGCTCGTATTACACACCGATCGTTGGTAACAACGAACGAATGATACAAGATTCGGACGTGGTATTCTTCCGGGTGGCTTTTTCGTACGAAACAGTACGTGAACATTGTATTCTCGAAAACATTGACATGAACGTTGACTTTGTTATTTGTTCCTCACAGAAAGAAGAAATGAAGATCGGGATTGAGAGGATGGCGGTTGTATTTCAAAGATGGTGGAATGGAGAAGCCTCTGCTTGACATTCCCTACGTAGTAGACGTACTTACAACAGTAAGGAGTAGAAGTTCAAGTTGGTGACAGACAGCGTGAATGACTAATCGAGTGTGAGAAACTAATCTGAGGTTGACTCTGGTTGACTCTTCTCTCTCAGTCGCGTCTTCTTTCACCAAATCTCCCGCACAGTGCAGGTCTTTTGGATCTTTGTCTTGCACTCTCATCATGGACAGGTTTGACGCTACATTCGACTCGGTCAAGGCAGAGACCCTGCGCTCCCTTGTGCGCGATCTGGGTCACAAGGGTCCTACTAAAAGAGACGACATGATGAATTTCATGAAAGTTAAACTGTTTGGTGGTAGGTCGAACTTGACTACGAAAAAATTGTTTTTTCTCTTTGAAAGCTGATGACGCTACGTTCCAAAGACGAAGAAGCCGAGACCACAACGAGAACCACTCGGTCGACGACCACTGCTGTCGCGAGCAACGATAAGAACGGTGCTACATCTCACAAAACCATTTCTGCACCCGGACTGTCACGCTCGACTCGAAAACGAAAAGCTGAAGACCTAGACAAGGCATCGTACGACGATAGTGATGCTGAGGAGATCGAGAACGGCGATAACGCGGCCAAACATACCCGGAATACGAGGTCCGCTCAGAACAACATTCAGGACAGTGTCAGCGCTGGTCCACGCAGAGGAAGACCCCGTACGGCTGTTTCTCAACCTTCTTCCGACAGAAGCCCTCAGAGAGCGTCAGGCAACGCTGCCGGTGACACTGTCCCATTGAAAAGGGGTCGAGGGAGACCACGACGATCAGCACCTGTTCCTCCTCCTAAGAAAGACGATGAACTGAGCGATGCAGATGCCGATGGAGACTATGAAGAAGAAGACACACCGGAGGAGGTACCCAGTGCAGATATCTCAGCCCAACCTCGAAAACGGGGCCGACCGCGCAAAGTGCGAATACCCGATGGTGAAGAAAGAGAAGAAGTCTCTGTCCCTGTGAAGCGCGGTCGTGGTCGTCCTCGTAAAGACCAAGCCGCTTCTGCTTCTGCTCCGGTTCCCCGAACCTCGTCTTCCTCATCTCCAAGTAAAAAACCAAGATCGTCTACTTCGGTACACATGTCCACTCGGTCTAGTACCGGTCACTCGCCCTCGAAGAAGCCTAAAAGTCGTATCGCCGTTCCCCCCGTCAAGCGCACGTATGGCAGTATCACGAAAGGAGGAATCCGACTCAGGGGTCGTCCACCTAAAGCTGCTGCGATGAAGACTCGAAAGCCACGCTCGAGTCTTTCCAAACAGACTACTGGCAGACCCAAACCCGGACCACGTTCTCGAACGATGTATAATTCTGCTCGGACGAGGGCCAAGGAGGGTTCTGATTCGAGTGCTAGTGGAAGAAAGTTCACGTTTGACGGAGTAGAGCTGGTCAGTCAAAATCGAGCAAAAGGTGCTAATGCGGAAGCTGGTGGAGCCAACGCTGAAGGCGGCGCTGGCGTTGTAGATATGAATGGTGTCGGAGAGAATAACGCGAGAGGGAATGAACGCAATGAAGGGGAAGCTCAGGTCACCAACCAAGACAGTGAGTGATGCTCATCATCGTTCATTCCCTCCGTCCCATTTTCTTGTCTTGTGCAAAAATTGCATTTTGTGGCTGCTTGAGTGAAACCTATATACTTAAAAATGTACATTCATCTTTTCTTGAAATAGCTGTGCAACCGAGATCATCTGCGCCCCATTCTTCTAATACAAGCTCTTCGTCGCTCACTCCTAGTGGAAATTCAATAACTGAAGAGGGTGCACCCAAAGACTTTGAACCGGATCCTCAATCCGACGAAGTGCCTGGACAATCATCGACATCTGACAATCAACAGGATGTATCTCATCTTCTTCCTGCTACCAATGTTTCCCCCATGCCCAAACCGCCACTCAAGTCTTTCAAAGACGACACCTCGCCTGCTCCGCAGCAGGAGGATTCCAGTACCATCACAAGTGATTCGAAGAAGGTTTTCGATTTCAATACCACAAAGATTGGGGAAGACATAGACATGGCAGCTGCTACCACTTCATCTACCAAACTCGCAGCTACTACTGCTGCGACGACATCCGCGTCGGATGTCGATGTTGACCCACTCACTACTGTCGACACATTTTTGACGTTGGCCTCTTCGTCTGCCGTCGTTCCGGATGCCTCCAACGACAGAGACTCCCGCTCCAATTCCTTGTTCAGCGAGAATCAGGAGAACCATGATCCCAATGAATTACCGAATGTTGGTGGTGTAGAAAATGACGAGTTGTTGCATGACATGGAAGGTATCGAAGAAATGATCGGTGTTGTAGAAAACGAGTTGTCGCATGACATGGAAGGTATTGAGGATGACGAGGATGAGGATGAGGATGAGAATGAAACTAGCATCATGGATCCTCCACTTGTTTATCCGATTGAGGTTGAGGTTCATACGGAACAGTTGACAATGACTGAAGAAGATACACTCGGGCCACTCACGCCTCAAGAAGTAGAGCAAGGGTTGGACGATTTCTCTCCTTGATGAGTGTATGGAGACGAGAACAATCTTCAACGGGCGAGTTCAGACCCTACGTCTTCCATGTTTTGTACTGACGATCAAGTACAACAGATCTTATTTCAAGCGATTAACCTCCTTCATCTTCTCTTTCCGCTCTCTCATTGTGACCTTTCTATCATCAACTGTACTATGTATATAATAGCCCTGTGTACACAGAATGTGAAAGACTGTGCGAAAGCGTTGCCACACGATATGGTTATCGACTCAAGTCTCAGTATACCTGCTGACTAGAGGTATTTTAAGTGTTTTCATAAGTATAACCTATGATTCCGCTCATCATGTCTCTGCCAGAGTGACTGGTTTGAACCACAGACTAGTCACTCGTCAGCATGTTGACAGTCATAATTTCTTTTCTTGCAAAAGGTAGACATGAGCCAAGTATCCTGACACAAGTATGAGTGGAACCGAGAACCCAGAGAAAGTTCCAGAAAACAGAAGAGAACTAGGAAAAAAAGTGCTTCAATAAGGGAGCACGACCACCATGGGACTCGAACCCACAATCTCTAGCTAGCCAAGCACCGGAAACTAGCGCGTTAACCATTACGCTAGGCGGCCACTATAGCAAATGTCAACTCGTACAAATTCGACGAATGTAAGCAAAACTGTTCTTTCTGATAGGATCCGGTTCAGATACAATACCCCACTCTTGATGAATGATAATAGAGCATCACATTCTCCCTAGAGTTGATGCAGTTTGCAGGGAGTCATGACAATTGCTGATTCTTTGACACCTCATAGCCGTCAAGCAGCTCATAGTAGATCTTCGTCTCGGTTGACTAGTTATCAAAGCAAAGCTCTCTTGACCACCTATGCGAGCCTATACGTGAGTAACAACAGAAAAGGATCACAATAATGGAGATTGTCTCTGAGCTAACCAAACAGTGCCGGATGAAGGATAAAAATAGAGATCTTATCCTTGTCCTTGCGCCTTCCCATGACGATGGGTTGAGACTGGTAGTTATCGACAAAAACAGGAGGTTTTGGACCACCAGACGGGGCTTTTGGAAGGGCGTTCTGCCTGAGCCGTAACTTGGTCAACTTGTCCCTACTTGGCTTGAACTGTTCATAGGGAACAAGAAAGACGTAGTGATAGCGATGATACTCGGCAGATGGGAACTTGGAAGGAAACAGGAAACAAGAAGAGGACCTGACCCGGACTTCTATACTAAGTATGCCAATGTCCCCGAGGTGATATTCGACAAATTGCAGCAATGGGATCCCAGAAAGCATTGCGAGGCGCGCGCCGTATTGGTGAATCTACAGGGGAAAATATCTGGAAGAGTTTATTGTGTATTGCAAATCTGAGTACGCACTAGAGGTTATAGTAACCCAGTTCGTTGTGAAAATCGACTTGATCGTGTCTCTTTTCGATAGACTGTCTGAAGATCAGGATAAACAATGCCACGGCTTGAATGATTAGCGTCTTCGACCGGATCACCATCGACGATATACATAAGAATTTCAGAGGCGGTCATGGCGGTAAGAGATCAAGAGACGCAAGTTGTCAATGCTGCACGTGCACCATGATGTCTTCAACAAACACCATCCCCTCGACCGTGTACGAAACTTTATTATTAAAACTCGTCACTGTCCTTGAACTGACCCAAAACCCGGACGGAATATCAACTCCTCAAGCAAAGCAGGCGGTTCTCCAAGCGGTCAAGAATCCCAAACTCTTGCTGGAAACTCTTCCCTTCTTCTGACACGACGTGTTACAGACGAACCAGTTCAAATCGTCCCTTTTGAACGCGAAATCGTTGGCAGAAGATTTGCCTGGGGGTGAGCTGGATATAGATGATCAAGATAATGTGATTGAGATGCTGACGACGTTGAGGAATCGCAAGCGGTATGACTTTTCGGATTACATTGCTGGCCTCAGGTTGAATCTTTCGAACAGAGATCAGTTGATTGAATTCTCTTCCAAGTCGTCGCAGGTGGCCTCCGCTATAGGCTTTCACATGTTCAATGATGTGGGGATGGAGATTGACTCGATGGCGAGCACGCCAATGACTTGAACTTTCGAATACCGCGACTGCGTCGTGACAACAAGAAAACAGAATTCGATTCGATTGAGGTTCAGTTTTCTCTCAATGTCGAGCTACATATCACTAGCGACTACTTATGGTAACTCGTGTGGCTGCATCATTGACCCGACTCAAGAGAGCGTCTGTGGTGAAACGTTAAAGGCATCGAGTTAATAAAGTCAATCCCTGCTTTGCGATAGTCGTCTGGAATGCTCGTTAGATTATCCCCATTGAGTTGTATGACGACCTATGAAAGTAAAGTAAGTCAAGTTTATCCTTTCGTCAATCTGAGTTAACTCACTCGGTTTTCTGGAGTATACTGCTCCCAAGTAGGGCCTAAAGATTTTGACCTCGTCACCTAAACACTGTGAAATTGTGAAGAGTCTGCTTACGGGAAGAGCCCTTTCCGTCGTTAGGATCCAGACTTGTTGCAAACGAAACCCAATAGTCAACCATCGCGGTGCTCAACGCAATATCAGAAGCAGTCGGATCTGTCGGTGCTCCATAAACGTAGACGATTTCTGTTCCATGAGACACTTTGGCCCACGTTGACTTGTCAGTTTCTCAGTTGGCAGAGCCATCCAAGAATGACCTACCTCCAAGGAAAACGGGATTCGTAGGTTGTGGTTGGGTGAATAGGTACGCGAACGTTTTCACGCCAGCTTTGCTAGCTGCCTCTATCCATAGCCTACGCGGAGCTTGGAAGGCTAAATCTCCGACTATGAGAGAATGATCCCATGAGTCCGATTGACAGTACGAAGGTCAAACAGAATTGCGTACACATGGCAGAAACTCGTTTATAGCCAGGACTGAGTCCGAACGTGTCATTTCCGGTATTGAAAGGGGAGCCAAGAGCAGGGATATCAGGGTACAAGTCCAACAACTGTGTTACTGCGCCTTGTAGCTGGCCTTCTGACACGAAGGGAAAGACTGGCGGGGAAAAGTTCGCGATGATCATGTCTGAGATGACCTCCGTGGTGTAGTTTCCAGTAGGAGGGATGAATAAAGTCCCTAGCAAGAAAGGTTTGTCGATCTTAGTGACAAAATCAACAGCCCAAGAACATACACACCCTCATCCAAATTCGTTCCGGATATGAATGGTAGTTTCGCAAACGTCCCTTTTGCAAAAAGCAATGAGGGATAGTCAGGCAGGAATCCACCCTCTCCATCGATAGCAGGGCTCCATGGAAACTCTTCGTTTGCTTCGTTTTGGGCAATAGTCAGACCTTCAAGTATGGCTGTAGTGTTTACAGATTGCAAACAGCCAAACGTATTGTCTGTCTTCGAGAGTTCGGCGCATCCCGGAACTCCTGCAACAAAGTTATCCCAGTCTATCTGACGGCGTTGAGGATGGAATGTCAGATCGCTCGAAGCAGAACCTGATTCAAAAATCTGAATAGATATGATAAATCCGCTGTCTCCGTGATATGATGAGTGAACTCTGAATTACCGCTGCTCTAGCAAATCGAGAAAATGACGGGTTCAAGAACTGGATGGCCGTCAAGATTGCTCCAGCGCTTTCTCCAAATACCGTCACCTATAACGCTACGGTGAGGGCCGATAACCGAATGATCAAACTAGGAGAAGAGATATACTTTAGACTTATCCCCACCGAAGGCTCCAATATTCTCTTGAACCCACGTTAAAGCAGCGATCTGATCATGCAATCCTAAATTCAACGCTTTTCGATTCGCTGCTTCTTGACCTTGAGGGAAACCCAAGGGTCCGAGGCGATAATTAAAATTCACGTATATGATGGGGGTACCCTGATGACCGCGATGCATATGGTAGTGAACCTATGCATATTGGATCGCAGTGGGACGAAGGCTCACCCGGAATACGCTCTGCGCTACAATTGCGCTTGCGTTGAAGGTAGCCGAAGAGCCTTCTTGGAAACCCCCTCCGTACGTCCTATTGTGTCAAGGAAATTGGATTGAAGTTGAAGCAAGATGAAGGAGATTAGTCTACCAGAACATGACTGGAAGGGAATCTTTGGATGTTACACCAGACGGTCGGAAGATGTTGATCGTCAAACAATCTTCCGACAGCTCTGCAACGGGAACTCCCTATAACGAACAACATTCATACCCTGTGTAAGACCTTACTATCAACATGAAACTGACCACTTGTAGACATGAAAACCCAAAATTCGTTGCATTGAAGACAGGAGAGTCAAGGTTCGTTTTCAAAACCGTCGGCTTCAGGCGTAGATTTCCCAGGGGAGGTTCAGCGAAAGGGATTCCTAGATGATGTATTGCAGTTCCGCCATCCCAACAAATGGTACATGGAATCACGAGCTTACCTCCGAAGAAGTCTTGATTAAGAGAGGTCACTTCCTGTCCAATAAGTGTAGTGTGTCCGAGTTGAACTTTGGGACCTTCAGCTAATACCGCACGCCCAACGAGGGCAGTGAGAATAAGACCGCGCAAGGCTGGATGGATGAACATTCCAGTGGTAGGATGTGTGACCGAAATCGATTCTTTTAAAGCCCATGCGGTACTCAGTTGTTGTTGATGAGAACAGGTTAAACTGGTCAGATGGCTTACTGTACGACCCTCGGAACGACCTGGACATGATCTTTGAAGAGCCGCTCTACTTATGCGTATTTTACCGGAGATTGCTCCGAAAACTAAAGGACAGAGTAAGACAGGATGACCTCCGTTGATCCCTAAAGGAATGAAATATACACACGAGATATGTCCAAGAGTGGTATTGAACGTTTTTCCTAGAGAATTTGAATCCAAGTTTGAACATCGTCAGCTTCAATCAGCCAGGTCCTTCAATGAGATTACGATTGGTCCTGACACCTAGAACTTCTGAATGTCGTCACTGTGATTGTCAGAACTCAGGACAATGAGGAACAGGTATTCAGAGAAATGGCCCCTTGGGATGCTTTACGACATTGAGAACGCAAGCCAAAGTTGTTCAAACTCATCAAATTTTGTTCGGGATGACAATCGCGGGTGGCAACTGACCGGGGCTTTCGTATGTGCAACAATGATGTGGGAATGGACATAGACTCTATTTCTTCTCGATGACGACTCCATGCCAAAGATGTTGTAACACAAGTCAGAGAATCAGATGTCGATCCAGCCGGAGGTCACTGGTTGAATTCGAGCTTCAATATAAATAGACAGTCTCCTTTCAGTGATATAGAGCTATGTATCGCTACAGCTCGTGTCGCTGCATTCCATACCGCTTCAAAGAGAGCGCCTATGGTGAAAGGTCAAAGGCGTCGAGTTTATGAAGTCGATCCCTGCTTTGCGATAATCGTCTGGGATGCTCGTCAGATTGTTCCCATTGAGTTGTATAAGAACCTATGAGGAGACTCAGTCAAATCAACATCCCGCAGCGAACAGTGACTCACCTGGTTCTCCGGAGTATACTGCTCCCAAGTGGGGCCTAGAGAATTTGAGCCATCATACCTAAACTCTCTAAGTGATGAAGTTTGCTTACGAGAAGAGCCTTTTCCATCATTAGGATCCAAACTCGTGGCAAAGGAGACCCAATAGTCAATCATCGCTGTGCTTA